TTCAAGCATGAGCCATACAAAATTGACTTAATCCAGAGAAGTCATAGGGCAGTCTCTTTTAGGGAAGGGAATTGGAGTAGTTAGTGGGGAAGACAGAGGGTTCTCCACTGTCTTAGGTTTTGCAGAAAGAGGTTAAATGATTTATCATGTGGACAAGTGAAAGGAGAACAAAAAAAAAGGAAGTTCTGAGGCTTTTGCCTTCAGGGTTGTCCTGGCTGGAAAGTTTCTTTGGTTTTTGTAGTGTGGCTCTGTGTGTCTTCCCTGTCTGTTTCCCCTGCCCCTGGTTCCAGGGTTCCTACTTCACCCCAACCCGGAAGCCTAACATTTAAGGTTGGGGGCAGTTACCAGGTACTGGGGCCAGCTTAGACCCCGCTGCCTTGCCTGTTGAGACCAAACACCCTAAGTCAGTGAGTCAGTGTTCCCTTATGACCAGTCTCCCAACATGTGCAGGACAGGAGAGGGGCCAATGGGCCAAAGCCTGCTGTTTCTATCAAAGAGGGGCCCGCCAGAAGTTCAGGTGCCATGGTCTAAACAAAAGGGAGGTGACTACAGGAAGCAAAGTGAGAAGGGACAAGATGGCAATCAAGGGATGTGTGGATGGGCCCCTCCTCCTTCCTAAGGCCGTGAGTAGAATGCCATCACCCCTTTGATGGCTTTGGGATAGCAAGGCTAAATGACAAACATAATGCCAGGCTTGCCTCAGGATATCGTCACCCAGGCGGCTTGCTTCCCTGTCCTGTACCTGCAGCCCTCTTCTAACACCAGGGCTCACCCTTGACTGTAGATTCTGTAGCACTGACTGGTGACATTCCCTCCTACGTGGAACATCTACTCCACCCTGGGTTTCCCGGCAGTACAGGTTCCTCTCTTTGATTCTCTTTGTTGAGCTTTGTGGACAAGCTGAGGCAGGACATACGATGGCGGCTTTAAGCCGGCCAGTTCTGTCCTTTCTCTTTCCTATCTCATTTGCATGTAACTCTTGGGAAAAGCACCTTCAACTCAGTTCCCAACAGGTTTTGAGAACAGAATTGGAAAGCATTCACTAATTTCTCCCAGGTCTTTCTTTGTTTTGCACTTTAGGGCTATGCTGGTCAATTTGTTTTTGTTGTTGTTTTGTCAACTTGATACAAGCTGAGGTTGTCTAGGAAGAGGGAACCTCAATTGAGAAAATGCCTGCACTAGATTGCCTGTAGGTAAGTCTGAATGGCATTTTCTCAATCAATGGATTGATATGGGGTCACCCAGCCCTTTGCAGAGTGGTGCTTCTCCTGGGCAGATGGTCCTGGGTGGTAACAGAAGGCAGGCTGAGTGAGCCAGTAAGCAGGGTTCCTCCGTGTTCTCTGTATCACTTCTTGTGTCCAAGTTCCTTCCCTGAGTTCCTGCCCCAACTTCCTTTTATAAGGGACTATGATCTGGATCTATGAGACTAACAAACCCTTTCCTCACTAAATTGTTTTGGTTATCGCAATAGAAAGCAAAGTAAGACAAGGACCTGGTTTTGGGCTCCAGCACAGGTTCATGTGAGAATGTGACACTAAGGGTTTTATAGTCCTCAGGTACCAGCACAGTGCCTTAGTTGTCAGTTGATGATCTTCCTTCTGTCAACATCTATCTCCTTAATACAGACAGCACAGCATTCGGGACTGTGGGGAACCCTGGCTGTTCCAGTAATCAGCTATTGTAGTTTTTCTAGGACACAGAACTGTTACTGGCTGTTAGCGTCCAGGGTCAGGCGTCTCGGGGTACTAAGATTCTTATCCAAAGAATTGAAAACAGAGCTCACAAAAGAAGCAAGGTAACTGGACTGGAGTGAAGCCATAGTGCAGATTGTGGAGCTGATCGCTGGCTGCATGAACAACAGTCCTCAAGGGAATCAGGAGGAGGGCCAGAAGACAGCTTGCAAGTCAGTCCTCTCCTCTCATCCCGTGGACCCAGGGAATGGAACCCAAGTCCTCAGGTTTGGCAGCAAACGTCTTTACTCATTGAGCCATCTCATCAGCCCTTCCCCTCCCCCCTTGTTTTAATTTTTTTTTTATTAATTACAATTTATTCACTTTGTATCCTGGTGGTAGTCCCCTCCCTTGTCCCCTCCCAACCCCCACCCTCCCTCTTCTCCACCCATGCCCCTCCCCCAGTCCACTGATAGAGGAGGTCCTCCTCCCCTTCTATTTGATTCTAGTCTATCAGGTCTCATCAGGACTGACTGCATTGTCTTCCTCTGTGGATATTGCTCCAAGGTTGGCCTTTCCTTTCTTTTAACAAACAATTATATCTGCTTTGATCCCCTGCTGAGTGGGGTCTTTCAGAGGACATCTAGCTACCTACCATAGGCTCCAGTCCTGTTCCCTCTCTTCTGCCACTTCTGGTGTCTATCCTGTTTTTCCTTCTGAATGAGAATTATGCATCCTCCCTAGGGTTCTCCTTGTTGTTTAGCTTCTTTAGGTTTATAGAGTTTAGTATGTTTATCCTATAATTATATGGCTAATATCCACTTATAAGTGAGTATATACCATGAGTGTTTTTCTGGTTCTGGGTTACCTCACTCAGGAAGATCTTTTCCAGCTCCATCTGTTTTACTGCAGATTTCATGATTTCCTTGTTTTTAATAGCTGAGAAGTATGCAGCAACTCACAACCAAACTTTGGGCAGAGCACAGGGAGTCTTACAGAAGAAGATATGGGGGACAGTGATAGAAGGACCCAGAGGTTACAAGAGCTCCACAAGGAGACCAAAAGCCCAAAAAATCTGGGCCCAGGGGTGCAAGCAGATACTGATGCACCAACCAAGGACCATGTATGAAGAGGACCTTTCTTCAGATGTAGCCCATAGGCAGCTCCAAGTGGTCTCCCAGTAAGGGGAGCAGGGACTGTCCCTGACATGAACGGGGTTGCCTACTCTTTGATCACTTCCCAGTGTCAGGGTGACCTTGCCAGCCCACAGAGGAAGAGGATCCAGGCAGTCCTGGTGAGACTTGATAGGCTAGAGTCAGATAGTAGAGGAGGAGAACCTCCCCTATCAGTGAACTAGAGGAGGGGGGGGAAGGGGAGAGAGAGTGGGACATAGAAGAGATGAGGGAGGGGGCTACCATCAGGATATAAAATGAATAAATTGTAAAATGATATGAAATATAAAAAAATTAAAAAAACATGCAATTATAAGGTCTTCCCAGAGGCATCTTAGATGGGATTGTAAACTAACAATAAGAACAAACAAACAGAAATGGGCTACAGAGTTGATTAAGAGTTAAAAACCCGTCTTTTGCTGTAAACAGGGTTTTGAGGTTCCCAGCCTTTGCAACTGGAAAAATAGGAAGGCCACCTGCACTTAGGCCTCCAGACAACATCTTAGTATTTCGATGTCCCCACTTACGCATCTCTGTGGTAGAGGAATACTGTCTTTGTCCAAAACCTTCCCAGCCAACTGCTGTCAACTGGGCTGCCATTTTTCACTCTCAGCTGCCACCCAGCTTCAACCAGGCTTCCAGGTGAGAGGCTCCTCCCCCGACCCACCTCATCTTAAGCTTTCCACACTGCCTCATGTCAACACCAAATTTAGAACTTTTGAAAAGATTGTACAACCAGCCAAACCTCTCACGCCTATTTCTCACCCGCTTGTCGCTTACATCTCCTTAGCGGGCAGGAGAGCGAAACTGGAGGTAGTGTGACAAAGGGACAACCGAAGTGACTTGCTGATGACTTAAAAGCAACAAAACAGGAAGTGCTCGGGTTTTGAATTTGTATTATCTTGTAAATCTAACGACTCACCTGCGGGTTTGCAAAGAATGAAGGTGAGGCTGCTGGCAAACGCTGGCAAGCAATAGCTGACAGGCTTCAAGACAGCTCCAGTATTAGTCATCGTGGAGACGCCTGCCAAGAGGGCCGTGCATCAGAATATCTGCAGCGCACGCAAATGCCCCCTGCCAAGCCAAGCACGCGGAGCTGCATAAGCAAGGAAGCTGAGGTAGCACAGTGGTTGATAAACTCTCCCAGACTACGAAGTTAGTCTTTTTTGATGGACCTGGAACTCACAGTGATCCTCCTGCCTCAGCAGGTCGGCATGCCCATAATAGTATTATGTGTTTGCCAGGAAGCTTTTAGTATTAGATGTATTTTTTTCACGGTGCCTTGGGTTCTGCTTATCAGTGATTTACGCTGTAGAAATGGAATCCTGCTCCTATCAGAATAGAAACGCACAGAAACACTCCTTCATTATTAGCGTGTTAGAGACGCAGGGAGTCCACAGTATACGTGGCCACATGATGATTGATTGCTAAAGGCAAGGAAATCTTGATGTTTGTCTAGGAAGCTGAAGCAGTCTAAGTACCACTGTCTTGAACACCTCCCTTTCCTCTTCCTCCCCACTCCCTTCCTTCCTCTGTCCCTCTCTCTGTCCCCCCCTTCTCTATTTCTCCTTCTTTCTTTCTTCTTTTCCTCAAGAAATCCAAATACCATATTTAAAGGAATAGCCCTAGAAAAAAAAATATTACTATTATTTTAGCTGAAGTTCTACTCTGAGACTAACAATCATAAAAAGTGAGAAAATCATGTATTGGATCTGTGCTTCTCCATGTCAGAAATGCTCCTGTGAAATGACATCTGTCAATCTCCCCACATGGGAGCCTCTGGTGGGAGGGGAGAAACCTGAGTAGGTGAAGGTAGGGGTCTGGACTTGCCCTTTTCAATCTGGAAAATATTGATGTGCTCAGTCGAACTGTTTTATTATCAACCTACAATTTGCCAGTTACACAGCCTAAGAAATCATGCTGAAACAGGATGGCCACGAGTCTAGATATTAACATCTTGAAGGCAGATTGGACCTCCGTGAACGATATCCTCCACAGAATGAATCATTTAAAGACAAGTCTTCAATGATGAATCCACCCTCTGGAGTTTGAAAAGAGACGAGGCTGCTTTAAGAGAGAAACAGGAAGTTGTAACTAGAAGCCGTCTGAATGCTAAGCCATTTGAATGCTTGTGAAGTAGCAACAAAGTAGCAGCGTTTATTCTGAAATTCTGTGGGCGCCGGCCGGTCCTAGGCATCCCTCATCAAAGTGCTCATCCCTCATCCAGGGATTTCTCTGAGCATCACGGTCGAGTGCAGAATGGCGGGGCAGCTTCGGCTTACGTCAGGGAAGGATGAAGATCATTTTCAACATCAGGGAGCGGTGGAGCTGCTCGCGTTTAATTTTTTGCTCATCCTTACCATTTTAACCATCTGGTTGTTTAAAAATCATCGATTCCGCTTCTTGCACGAGACTGGAGGCGCGATGGTGTACGGTGAGTGCGTAAGCGGTGGGATGGGATGTGAAACTTGTTGCCTGGGCTTAATTAGAGACTTGGTGCTCAGATGGCAAAGTACGGAAAGTGAGGAGAAGGCGCTGACCGAAGTGTCATTAGCTGGATGGGAGGTGCTGCGGCGTTAGGGACGCTGGAGAGGAGCGGGAGAAATCCGCCTGGTCACTGAGCGGCTGTCACAGCCCTGTTCTGAGGCAGCGCGTTCTGGGAGCCTTTGACAGCTGCAGTCCTTTGTCAGGCGGGGAGTCATGGAGCTCTAGCCACGATAGCGGGAGGTGATGGCAACGTAGTCAGAGCAGCCAGAGGAGCGGTACAAAGTTAACTAGCTCCGGACTGCGTGAAAATACTCCTTCAACTATCTTCAAGAAGAGATGCTTGTAGAAGCAGACACAATTGTGGGAATAATCGCATCCAAACCCTTTCTCATCCTCTGAGCATTGTTTTAGCTTCTGGTCATAAAAGTGTTAAGCCAAGACTTTCCGATGGAACACTTTCCATTGCTCAGCCTGATTTTTATAGGATCGTGTTTATAATACCTATTTGTGCTTTCACACACCCTCTCTGCTTCTGCCTTTTCCCTTTTTCTTTCTTTCTTTCTTTCTTTCTTTCTTTCTTTCTTTCTTTCTTTTCTTTTCTTTTTTTTTTTATTGACAGGCCTCACTCTGTAGCCAAGGCTGGCCTGGAACTCACAGCCATCCTCCTGCCTCAGCCTCCTGGGTGCTGGAATAATAGGTGTAGGTAACCACACCTGATTCTTTAAAGCACAGGGGAAAAGTGTTAGCTTTAGGTTTAACCTTCCAAAATGATACTCTTTCTGTGCAAGTTACCATGCATCCACCCTTTTTGAGAAGTTTTATAAAGTGTGGTTGTGTAGTCTATACGGACTAGACTGGATTATCTAGGTGTTTGTTTGTTTTTAAGTAGGATACAGGACCGAGCTGGTGCTGAGGCAACTGTCTCAATTCCAACTGGCTTCACTACTTTTATCCCACCTATAGAAAATAACAACTTTGAACACAATGGAAACAGTCAAGGGGCTGTCAAAATGCATGGCAAAGAACATACTTTTTGGCTTCCCCCCCTTCTGGAAGCCCCGAGGCCCTTTTGTGTGTCTGAAGTCCAGGGAAAAAGGTGAGTGCACATTTTACATGTTAAGTGTGGGTGATGCCCTGCTCTTAACCAAGCCCTGACCTGAAGGGAAGGCGTGAGACATCCTATCCTTCACTGGGTCCCCGGTGAGACACGTGAGCTATAGGGCAGACGTTTAAGGCCCAGCAGTGCAGTTTGTTTTCAGGCATCCAGTTCGGAGCAGAGTTAAGTTCCTTTGTTTTGAAAGTCACACAGCACACAACGAAACTTTTCGGGGTGGGAGCTGAACTCAGAAGAGACAGGCTTAAAGAGAAGGGCTTAGTGCTTTCAGAGGCAGAGATTCAGACATGAGTCATCTTCCCTTTCTCCACAATCGATTTACTAGGCTCTTTCCCTATCTCGGGTAATAAATAATCAAAAAGATACAGGATGTAATCTGAGAAGCCAGTTGCAACGCCATCCTTAACATCACATCAAAGGGCTGTGCGCACTTTGCCGATACAACACAGATTTAAGATTAAGTCCCTGCGTAACAAACCGTAGAAATGAGGCTACAACCGGAATACAAAGTGAATAAATTGTAAATGATTAATAATGATAATAATAATAAAGACTGTTAAAAAAGACTTAAGTCTTTATTAGAAGGAAAGATTTCTCCACTTCCTTATACTTACTTAAATTATAACTTTTTTTAAGACCAGTTTTCTTCCCTATAGTAGGGATATTGTTTTATTAAAGTAGTTAGTTTGACTGAATTGATTCTTTCTTTCTTTTTTGTTTTTCGAGACAGGGTTTCTCTGTGTATCTTTGGCTGTTACTGGACTCACTTTGTAGACCAGCCTGGCCTCAAACTCACAGAGATCTGCCTGCCTCTGCTTCCCTGAGTGCTGGGATTGCAGGCACCTGCCACTGCATCCGGCTGACTGAAGTAATTAGATGTGGTTAATAAGCAGGCATGATGGTCCTCCCCAAGCTGAGCAGCCAGGCCTGGTGGTCCTCCATGCTCCATGTGTTTTCATACATTTCAAGCTGTTAATGAGGTTCTTATTCGTTTTCCAGGGTAGACTCTGAAAATAATTCATCAGGATGGCCTCCATGTAACCTCTTCCAGGATAATCAAAATGCTATACTGAAGTGCTTAAGGTAGACTTTCTGTCAGAGATGTAAATGAAGCAGACAAACTGAAAAAAAAAAAAAAAAAAAAAAAAAAAAAAGGAACTCTAAGAAACTCTTAATAGTAAGAGGGAGAGAATCCCAAACACCCAGTCTTTGTAAATGAATATGAAATTCACACAGTGGAAAGGGACCTTACAGAACAGAATCCTCACTTTCCAGAGGGCGTAGGACTTGACTTAGACGCAGGTCATGGGTGCTGACCTGGGGCTCATCATGCCTTTTAATTAAGGATGCAGAGACAGTAATAAGCAAATGCCTTCAGTGATATTCCAGGAAGTGGGTGTATGTGTGTGTGTGGGGGGGGGGGGGGGGGGGGGGGCGTGGGTGGTAGAGAAATGAGCAGGTGCCAAATACATGCTCCTGTTGTAAACCCATTAAGGGCTGGCCATCTGGTTTCTTTTCCAGGAGGGTTTGACAAATTGAAATTTCAGGGTACACCCTTGCTCAATCTAGGAAGTCATTGTTTCTACAGTGGTCTGGCTAGAGCCATAATGAGGACCAATGAAAAAGAAGACAAACTTAGACACTTTAATTTTCTGGTTTTATGAAGACCGACAGATCCCTTAGAGTAGACCGTGACAGCTCGCTCCACCC